CCCCAAAACCCCAAAACCCCAAAACCCCAAAACCCCAAGTAAAAGGCAGCTGCGGATATAAAATAAATTTATTAAATCCTGCAAAGATGCCAAATACCTACGTGATAAAGAGAGTGTTGACCGATATGCTCGGAAAGGAGTTCAGTAAGTGCCCTAAAGATAATGTTTCCTCTAAAAATAGCCTAAACTGTGCCTTTTCTCTCTAATATTTTGCATCAATGTGGTCCTCAGCTAAAAGATTTATGTAGCCAATGAAGAGTTTGAAGATTTGTGCTTCGAGTACGGCCTCGAAGTTGAATTCACTGACACCAATGAAATGAAGAAGAGAAAAGATGACACAGAAGAGACTGAGGAGAAGGAAGAAGAAAAGAAAGACAAAAGCAAGAAAGCTAAGAAAGGAAAGAAGAATAAGAAGAATGTTGAAGAAGAGAAAAACGAGCCTGTTTATAAGGTAGAAGTTCCAGCTAATAGATATGACCTCCTCTCTGTTGAAGGAATCGCAATGGCCATCAAGGCTTATCTTGGATTGGGTGATTTACCAGAGTATCTGATTAAAAATCCTGAAAATCTGGAGAAGATTACAGTCCTTCCAGAAACTAAAGATGTCAGACCTTACTGTGTCTCAGCGATTGTTAGAAATGTCACCTTCAATGAAGAGTCCTATAACTCTTTCATTGATTTGCAAGATTTGCTCCATCAAAATATTTGCAGAAGAAGAAAATTAGTGGCTATGGGAACCCATGATTATGACAATATGGAAGGTCCAATTACCTACGAAGCAAGAAAGCCAGAGGATATTAAATTTATACCACTTGGAGAGACCAAAGAAGTTGATGGACATGAGTTCATTGAGATGTGCAAGAAAGACAATTATATTAAAAAGTATGTTCCAATCATTGGAGATAAAGAGAGATTCCCTGTTTTCTATGACAAAAATGGTGTTGTGCTCTCCTTACCTCCTTTGAAGAACTCAGCAGCTACTGCAATTTCTACAGCCACTAAAAATGTATTCATTGAAATCACTGCTACTGACCACAAGAGAGCAAAAATTGTATTGGATATTTTGACAACCCACCTTTCTCAACTAAGTTCTGATAAGTATTGAATCGAACAAGTAGAAGTTGAATATCCAGATGGTGAAAAGACACATAACCCAACTCTCAAGGAGAACACTTTCGAAGTCAGCCTCGAGTACACCAACAGACTCCTTGGACTTCAGCTCACTACTGAGGAAATTGGAAAACTTGTAGTTAAAATGGGATTAAAGATGGTCTCTCACACCGATGACCACTTCACTGTCAGCATTCCAGTTACTAGAAATGATATACTCCATGCATGTGATATTGCTGAAGATATTGGTATCGCTTATGGATTCAACAATATTGAGACTAAGCTTCCATCAACTCTGACTACTGGAAAACCATTGCCAAAGAATAAATTCAGTGACTTATTAAGACAAGAACTTGCCCAAGCAGGTTTTGTTGAATGCCTCAACATGGCCTTAGTCTCTGAATTTGATATCTTCCAAGGTCTTAAGAAGGAGCATCAGACTGGAGTATCAGTCAAGCTTGCCAACTCGAAGACTATTGAGTTCAATTATTGCAGAAATTCCTTGATCCCAGGACTCCTGAAAACCTTGCACTCCAGCATGAAAGAAAAGGTAGGATTTAGTGGATAATTTTTATAGCTTCCTCATAAAGTCTTTGAAGTGCAGGATACCATTCATATTGACGACACCAACGCTATCGGAGCTTCGAACAAAAGAACTCTATGTGTAATGCACTCTCACTCTGCTAAGTCAGGAATTGATGTCATTCATGGCATCCTTGATTTAGTGATGCTCAAGTTCAATATTATCAACCATGAGAAGAAAGGTTACTCTATCCAACTGTCTGAAGAGCCAACCTTCCTTGACAACATGCAAGTGCAAATCTCATTCAAGAATAAGGTAATCGGACATATGGGTATTGTCCATCCTGATGTCCTCAAGAACTTCAAGATCAAGTACCCAGTTTGCGCCCTTGAAATCCACATGAACGAGATCTTCGAAGAATTTGAACTCACTGCTTAAGTCTATTCAATACAGAATCCATAAATAGGGGTTTTGGGGTTTTGGGGTTTTGGGGTTTTGGGGTTTTGGGGTTTTGGGG